TCGACCTCATAAACCCACAATTCCATCTGGCCAACCTTAGTCCAGCTAATACTCGCGTAACTTCTAACGATCAGCTAACTAGTTCAGACTCGCACGAACACCTAATAACTTACTATACAGTTCTGCGAGACTCCTCGAACGCTTTTGGGATTCCTGGCACAAAGAGTATCTCCAAAGCCTAGCCGAAAAGTGCCAAAAGACTACCGCTCCCAAACAAGGTGCAGCGAGTCCACCCAAAGTTGGAGATGTAGTACTAGTAAAAGACGAAAACGCATCTCGAACTAATTGGCCACTAGGCCTTATTACGGAGATCATTAGTTCAGCAGATGGGTCACCAAGATCCGTCAAACTCAAAGTAGGAACAGGTAAGATCCTAAAGCGTTCCCTCAATCAGCTGATCCCACTAGAAGTTTCAGCGAATAGTTCAGATTCCTTAGCGGAAAAGAAAAAACAAGAGTCACAACCGACTCGCATACAACCGCAAAGGAAAACGAAGCCTCAACGGCGAATATAACACAATTCACAAATAGTTCATATGATTTACTTACCTCTGTACTAACGAACTTTCTACTTCCATCTTCACTTCTGCACTAATCAGCCTGCAATAAACACTAACACGCGACCCTAGTTCAGCTAAAGGACGAGAAATGTAGTCGAACGGCGAAAAATCGATAAATCAATAAAGCGTCAAAATCAAAATACTCAAAATCCATGACGCAATAGTTCAGCTATACGGTAGCGCGCCCGAGCGCAAGTCGAAGATAGCTATCGATTGCCACGTGGCAACGCCATCGACAGCCGGCGCGCAGCCCAAAATCGTAATTTCGGATTTTGCAATGCCACATCACCATTTTCGCCTTATTCGACCATTTCCACTCATCCTTTTTCGCGCAACTCACTAATCCTACTCTCGTCTACTTATATTCGAAGACCTAGTTCAGAACACTAACCTCTAGTTCAGTTCCAGACAGTGCGTACTAATATTGCAAATCTCAGCCATGAGCGCAAGCGAAAACCGTAAGAGCTTACACGAGCTCATCCAGGTACGGATTTTCTATACAGTTTGTCTTTTGAAGTGATCATTTAACAGCGATCGAACGTTTAAGTCAGGAGATCCCTGTTAAAGAGATCCATGTTTTTCGAATACTCGAAACTTCGAGTCAATCGATACGAAAACATCAAAAGACAAAATATGACGTCATTCATGGTTCATTTCGATTTGATTTGCATTACGCACTTACACCCTTTTAACCATAACAATTTGCAAGTCAACGTATTTCATGCCATTTTTTACTTCGAAGGCGAAGAATTTCATCACTTTTTGATTGATTCTTGAACTAACACACGTAACCAACTAATATCTAGTTCAGCCAGCGAGATTTATTTCTTGCTAAATAACCTTTTTACTCATTTTCCTAGTTCAGCTCGATGAAATTCTCACTGACTTGCAAATAATCACCCCGTAGTTCAGCGTAAGGATTACTAATCCTTACAAAATCAAGTCGTTTTAACGAGTTTGTTTTCTCGAATAACTAGTTCAACTAGTCATACGTTTTGGCACATTGAATTACTCAAATCAATAACCATATAACAGGCCGAAACGATTCTGCGTGACATCAAAGTAACCACTCACGTAGACACTTTCGAGAACTTTTGAACTAAAACTCGTTAACTCACACTTGATTGAAATAGTTCAGCTAACTATAGCACAAATAGTTCAGCTAACATAACAAGAAATGGGCTCTTTTTCAACGTGTTCCCTTATAGGAACTCGTGAATCGATGAAATGACTGAAGAAGAGCGGCAAGAACTCCTGGTAGCTCAGGCAAAAAAGACCTTCCAAAGTGGCGGGTTTGAAAAAGGCAACCCTCCTGATCCAGTGGAGTACCCTCTCCTTCACGAACCAACGTTCCCTCACTTTCGTCAAGAGGAAGCCCGTCGAAAGTTCCTAGAAAGATGCCCAGAAGTCAAGGAGCTCAGCAAGAAGCGATTTCGTAGGTTCAGACCTAACTGTATATCCTTCTATTTTATAAAGCGCTAACTTTGTGTGTCGGTTTGTGTGTCTGTATGTGTGTGTGTATGTATGTATGTATGTATGTATGTGTGTCCGTCCGCAAAATGAAGTGAGTGAGAAGGAAGCTCATGGGATAAACAAACCGCTAACAAATCGGGTAGCTTACAGGATTTGAGATATCAATGTTTTGTAGCAGGATAGTTGTGATAACACTCTTAGGGCTATATAAACACCTGCTTAGCACACTTCCGTTCATTCCACATGGTGCTGCAGTGGCAGCTGGAGGGCAGTGGAGAGAGGAAGGGAGGATGAGGAAGGGAAGCGAAAAATCTACCGTCATATCATGATTGTGTCCCTTCTACTGTATGAAACACCATTGTGTTGCATACGCGTCACTTCCAGGAGGTGTTGGTGTCACAGGAGGAAGGGACCATAGCGGAGGATAGAAAGCTTGCGCAGGAAAGGAAGGTCCCGGCGGTTGACGGGGGACTAATCTGGTTTATAAATACGTGTATCTTAGGGACCCATGTCTCTCTGTGGTGAAGAAGGGCACCATAGAACTTTTTGTTTCAAAAATCCCTTCATAATCCAAGACATCACTGGCATGTGGCCCTGCGATTTCTATAGTTCATTAGCCTACAGGACCTACACACATCCTCCCCCAAGGGCACCCAGGTACCGCATTTACAGTCGGGCCTACAAGGACCTAACTTTCTCCAGGCGGTCACCAACCCCTCCGGAGCATAGTCCAGAGTCCTTGAGACCCAGGCCACCGTACCTGAGCTAAGCCAGGGAGTGAAGAACAAGTGTCCTGGCACAAGGCTAAAGGTAAGTAAATAGTTCAGCACTAGTAGAGCACAGCTCCTAGATATAGTTCAGCCTTTAACTCACTTATTCATTTATTCCTTTATTAATAACAGTTTTAAGAATTCATTACCTTAATTTAGGTTCAGGTACTCCAGCACTTGGGTTCCCGCACCATTTTAAGGAAATTATATAATACAATTTAGTACTTACTAGTTCATTATTTGTTATAATTTGTATTTACTCACCATTAACTAACCCATTTTGAGAAGCTTTACTACATTATCACGTTGTTATCTCATGTAACTAACATTGATACATAAACCATTCATACTAACATGTAAGGAAAATCACAGTGTCACTAACAGTACCGCCGAGCCGGTCATGTCAACCTACAACATTTTTCTCACATTTTTGCCCACGGGTTAGTGCAGCAAACCAACACTACGCCGTCATATGACAGGCTTACGCCCAAGCGAATTCCTTTTTCGAGGCGGGAGTGTCGCGAA